GAAAAGTGGCCATATCAAGGGTCAGCAGCTGCTCTGCAGCAAGGAAACCCAGATCACTCTTCAAGATCTGCCACTCATAGGGCCTTGGCCAAATCTCCTCATAGCTCTGCTTGTGATGTTTTGGTTATTTAAAGCACATGGTCTTTATGGAGGTGTTATTTCCCGCTGCTTGTGCAAATGCCTTAAGTGATAGGGCTCTAATTACATTATCAAGCATCTAGGTATTACTGTGAGAAATAACCAACTGTACAGAAAATCTAGATTACTAAAAAAGTACCTATTTCAACATATTTTTAAGAAAAATTCCCAATGGGACTAAAAAAGAAAGTTGTGTTTTCACAAGCCAATAGTGTGAAAAAAAAAAAAAGGACTTCCTCCTCCATCTTCATTAAACATATTTATGTGTGTAAGCAACACAGTGCTGCTTTTATGAAAAAAGCTGCAAACTCATGTGTCCAATGCTGAATTTCACACTAGGCAAAATCAAAACGATGTATGCAGTCATTCATATGTACGCAGTTATAGTGACTGCCAAATGCAAAATGTTGCACAAATACAGCTCCACTGTGCACTTCTAAAAGTCATGAAAACTGCCAACTCCTTACATATCTCTTATTGTTCAGAATGGACATTATCCCCACACAAACTCGGGCGTTTAAAGGGCTGTTAAACACAGAAGAGACTGTTCTTGCTCTTCTACCCCTGAGCTTTTTATTTCACAGGAGAAAAGTCAAGTAGTGCAGCTCCATGGTGACCACTCTCCTGCCTCAATTCCTTAGCAGGAAAACAAAAACAAACCACTCAATAAAAACAAGCAAACATGTATCTCCAGTCTCAGGACAGGGCAGCAGCTCCCTAGTCTCAGTTCTCACTCAGTTCAGCAGTACCTCCAACTCCTTTCTGCCTGCAACCTCCTCTCCAGCATGGCACCTTTCCTCCCTCACCCCAGGCATTCTCCCAGCCACTGACATCTCCCCATCTTGTCATGCTGCTGCTCAGCCCCAGTGAACCCACGGCCTCTACTATTCCCTGCATCTCTGGAATGAAGTTTCTAATATGTTTTGTGTGCTGAAGTAGCAGTAATGTGGGGTGAATTTTACATAGGAAAAGGATGTCAACACTAAGAAAAATTGTCACACATTTTCTTCCCTCCAATTTACACAGTTCTATATAGATCTGCAGATCAACATGGCTGCTTACCACAGAAATTTCATTCAGAGATAGACTGTTTGAGCTTTCATACACACAGAACAAGTGGAACAGGAGTTGGAACCCAGAGTAAGAAAAAGCTCAGTGTTCCCCTCCGTACTGCTACAGCCTCTTGCAGGACCAAGCAGTTTGGACCCAGGTGTTCAGGAAGAAAAACAACACATCCTTCCACCCAGCTTCATCCTCTCCCTGCTCCAGAGGAGAACACACTTGATCAGTTTACAAGGATGTCTCATTGTTGACATTCTGAGACCTAAAGGAATGTTGTCTGCCAATACATTCCTTTTTTTGAAGGAAAGTCAGGTAGCAGAGGCTAGGTTTCCATTGGAATCTGCATATGGAGTCACACTGAGTACTGCTCTGTGGCTGCTTGTTGACAGGGGTTGAGGATGAAGCCCAAGGTACCCCAGCCACACAGCCAGATCCATCAGGCAGCACCACCTGGGCCTCCCTGCAGAACCCTGGAGATGATACAGACACCTCTGTAGGTCATGAGTGGGTGAGTGGTCACTGTACCACCAGCACCCTGTTGAGAGGTTTGGGAGGGCTGGCAGCAGGCTCTGTCCTTCCAGTAGCACCCTCTTCTCTGCCAGTGCACAGAAGCTGCTAAGGCACTGAGGAAGCAGAGAGCAGAAACATTGCTTCATTGCAACAGGAAAGCTTAAAACCACCTTGCCCCACCTTCCATGAAGGCTACAGGTTTCCAAGCCTGGATGGTTTTAACTGACTGACATGGTATAACCTCACAGCACGCCATGGACTCAACGAGGCCAAAGCAAAGATGCTTACACATTTGTGAACTGCAGAGACATTGATGCATGTGGCTTCCTGAGCTTGCCCTCAAATGACAGTACTGCGACATGGCTCCAGCAGACAGCAAGCTCTTCACATCACCAAGCAGGGCAGCGGACCTGCACAGGGATGCTCCCTCACATCAGTGGGCAATTAGTTGGGACATTCACTTCACACTTGCCTTCTTGGAGGTCCCAAAGTAAGGGAACAACAAAGAAACAACAACACAGAAACACACTTTTTCCAGCAAACAGCTCAATTATTTTCAGCACCGAGAGCATTACTGGAGTGTTTCGCATCAGTGCTGCCAACCCGAGCGTGTCAGCTCGCTGTGCATCCAGGAATTGCCCTGACAGCCCCAGCGCGGCCTGCAGGAGCCCTGCACCGCACACACAGAGACACCTCCACCGCTGTTACAGAGCCCCGTGGCAGCACAACACTGACCGCGCTCCGCACCCGCAGCAAGCCGACGGGTCGCGGCCCCCCGCACCCAGAAGCGGGCTGCAGGTGTAGGGACGGGCGTGGTGCGCAGGGCAACGCGGGGCGGCAGCGACCGACGCCGGGCGGTGCGGGAGGCCGGGGCAGGGCGCAGCGGAGGGCAGGGGCCCGGCCGGGCGCTACGTGACGACGGAGCCGCAACTTTCCCGAGGGCGGAGGCTGCACGCCGACTCTCCCGAGGCGCGGTAGCCGGTGCCGGCCGGGAGGCTCCGAGGGTGGCGGGACCCACGGCGACGCCGGACCCGCCGCTTCCACGGGGAGCGCCGGGCTACAGCCGCGCCGCCTCCCGTCCTGCCCGGCCCGGCGCTGCCTTCCCCTCCTCCCCTCCCTCCGTCAATCCCCACCCTCCGTGGGCGGGTGGGCGCTCGCGGCCGGGTACCTTGCAAGCGGAGTAGACGCCCAGCTTCTCCAGCTTCTTGGCCCGCGGAGCCGCGCGCAGCTGCGCCTTCTTCCCGGCCGTGCGCGCAGAGCCGGGCCCCCCAGGGCTCTCGGCGGCATTACGGGCCGGGCCCCCGGCGGCGGCGGCCGCCACTCCCCCGGCGGCCGGGGAGCCCTGCTGCGGCCCGCCGCCTGCCGCCGCGGCCCCGCCGCCCGCCTCCGCCATGCCTGCGGCGCGGCGGCAGCCGCCCGTCCGGCCGGCCGGCGCGGTGCGCCCGGCCCTAGACCCTCCCCTTCGCCGCGCCGCCGCCGCCGGCTGCTCCCCGGGGGGGTGGGGGGCGGGAGGAGGGCCCCTGCGCTCCGCGGGCGGCTCCTGTCCCGCCGGGCGGGGGGGAGCCGGCGCCCGCCTCCCGCCGCCGCGAAGCGCGGGGCTGCGCGGGGGCGGGCGGCGACCGAAGGCGCCGAGTGCGGGCCCGGCCCTCGGGGCTGAGGAGCCCGGGGAAGGGGGGGCATCGTCGCTTCACCAGCGGAGCCCCCGCGCCTCCTTTGCCCCTAGTAGGGCCACGGTTTATTTGACTTCAGCAGTGCTTTTCCACGCTGTGCGCTTTGCGGCTGCTTTTCAGCGGGTTTGTAGGTGATTTCCAAGTCAGCCTATACGTATCTGTTAGTTTCTTTTAAACGTAAAATTCCGATGACCCTCTGCTCCATTCCCTGCATTGTCCAGGAACATCTCCTTTAGCGCTGACAGCGGGTCATCCTCTGTCTACTACCTTTCAATTGAAAGCAACAATTAAGCAAATGATCCCACCGCAGTCACTGCGCTCTGCGCGCAGAAGTCCCGACGAAGTTACGCTCTGTCGCACGTATGTAAAATCGCGGCCGAGCCGCGAGAAACCGCAAATGGCACTTCCACAGCAGGGCACCGCGGCTTAAAAGGTCGGGATCGAGGCTGGGCTCTGGTGTGCGATCCGCAGCAATTTGATGTGTCAACCTCAGGCTGCAACACCGAGAGGAAGGGGGATCCCAGTGCGTAACGTGCACTTGCAAAAAAAGCAGCTCCGGATTTCTGCACCTGCCCCGTTCCATCTCTTGCCCGGCTGTAAGCGGCCCCGGGAGGCTGCGGCGAAGCCCGGCGGCGGCGCGTCCTCCCGGCAGCTGTGACAGCGACCCGTAAGATGGCTGCTGCCATCCCCGCCGCGTTAAGACGGACTGTTAAGGTGGAGGAGCCGCTGCGCTCGGAGGCGATGGGAAACGCAGCCCCTGGCTTAGCGGAGTATTAACAGGAATAAAAAGAATAAATAAATGCGCTTCTGTTAAATCTGAGAATTCTTTGTTGTTAATGGAAGTCGTCGAATCGCGTCTTAGAATGACAAAAAGCCGCTGAATGATAACAACCATTTAAGAACAATTTCCTCAGCCTCTCTGCTCGCGTTCCTTTATGTAGGCGACGTTTCCACTTTTCCCCCGGACTCGAAAACGAAACTGTTACCGCGTAGTTTCACTTTCAGCTTTACAACGCTCTGCAAACGTGACGACGACCGAGCAGATCCTCTGAAACTATAGTTGGCTCCTACAGGCCAGGGGGACCGTTGTTAGACACGGGCTCCCGGGCTGGACCGAGCTGCTGGAGCCGTTCCACAGCTAATGGTATTTATGCAACCCACTATCATTTGCACACCCATATACAATTGAATTCCCCGTTTCAATTCTCAACACTTAATATTTTTGCACAGCTGGGCAATTCCATCAATATGTTTTAGGCCCTTTATGTCTGCAGCTGCACAGGCAAGCGTTCACAGGATCATTCCCCAGGTGAACAACCTTAATCTTTTCACTCTACTCTCTTCACGGTTCTCAAAAGCCCAGTAACTTTTTTTATTTCCACTGAAATAAAACATTTCATGGTGTGTTTATGAGGGTCTTTCACAAAACCATATTGCACACAGTTGCATGCAGATTAGTATAAAGGCAAAACTGTATTCTACAGCTCCTCCTTGAAGCCTCAAAAGCACATCTGCCTTACACCACATCTCTGCTTTTTGCCTTCTGCTCACCAGATAACCAGAGCACTAAGTCTACCAGAATGGCTAGTCTACCAGACTGCAGCTACGGCTACAGTTACTATAGTAACATTTATAAACACCAATGTCACTACAAATGCAGTGTTGCCTGCTATCATGGAGAAGCAGCTTAAAAAGAAAACACGCTTAAACTGCAGATAGGTAAGTCCTCTTTTAGATATATATTTTATATGGATATACAATTGTGACATCTATTAAATCATTGTTTCCATTTTAACTGGTGTTATGTTTTTTAAAACAAATCAAGCCCAAGGATTTGTCTTATGTCCTTGGGACAGTTAAAATTTTGGCAAAAACTGCCAAAGGTATGAGGAAAAGACCATTTGCTGGCTGGAAATACAGGGTATAGCTCGGGCTGAACTGACTTGCAGTAGCTTCAGGAATATAATTTGGCCATAACAAGTTACACTACACAAGAAAAGCTGAAAAAACTTGTGCTTTAACATATGATTGTTATTCATTCCATTCTCAGTTTCATACATTTGAATTTTTCTGTTGATTGAATTCACAAGCAAGCACATCTTTATTCTCTATTTATGACATACACACAGCTCAACCTGAGCACAACAGAATGACTGCAGTGCTTATTTTGAATCAGTAAGTACATAACACAAAGATATTAACTTAGAATCAAACTCAAAGCATTGTCTTAAAAATCCTTGCCGCATTTTTCAGCTTCCATCCTTTGGGGCATTTCAGTGGGTTTTCTCAAGAGAAGCCAAGTCTGGAAGTAGCTCCTAGTAAGCACCAGTGGCAGCCAGGTGAGCCCAGCTGCCTCTTGCCCAGCTTGTGAGCTCAGTCAGGCAGCCTTGTGACTCTGGGAGTGCTGCTCATCTGCTCCACACCCAGCCAGGAGCCAGGCGATGTCCACACCAACTCCCATACTTTTCCCTTTAGCCTGGTGTTGCCCCAGGAAAGCTCTGCTCATAGTTGGGGCTCCCACCCCTCATCACATCCCAAGTATGCTACCACTGCCTGGACTCACTGTGAATACCAGGCAAGCTTAAATGCAAAAGCATACACATTATTCCAGCAAAGGAGATGGCTGTATTCTTGATGCAACAAAAGAAGAAAATTAAAATGCAACTTAGGGCGAGGCTGATGCCTGCTTGTTACCTAGCTGTCATGCAGAGCTTTTGGGGCCTACCTAAGGCCACATGAAATGACTCAACTAAAAACAGCCTGATACAGATCAATCCGAGGAGCCTCCCTGCCCAGGGCCCAGCTCCACAAGCCCACCAACCCCAACTCCCATCCCAAGCAGAGCCCTGTGCCCAACCCACGCCTCTCCCTCCCTTCTTGCTCATGGTGGGACTCCTCATTCTCCCACCAGTTTTATTCATGAATTCAATGCAAATGGAGAAAGAACTCCCCCCTTCCGGTGAATTTCTCGGAGTATATAATCCAATTGTGTTCTTTCATTAGCACATTCCTTGTGGGCGAACTGGCCTCCTCTTGGTCACTGGGCATTCTGGACTGCTATCAATATTTTATGAGTCACTGGAACTAGTAACAGCACAACATTTTTGTTCATTATACTATATCTAGCATCTTGTCAATTTTCCACGGTGCTTGCTTGCAACTTCAATAATACGGGTTACAAAACTTACCAATAGGCCTTTGTTAAAGAGAACATCACACCCCAATTACTTTTTTTTTTTTCTTCAAGGAAAAAAGTAGAGAAAAAGAATGGAGAATATGTCACTGCAACAATCATGGCTGTTTGTGTTGCTAAAACTTCTCGCGAGAGCAGAAGCACTTTGCTATTTTTATTCACTTCTTACCCCAGATGTACTCTTTGGGGCTGCAGTCAGTTTTGAAAGACCCAAACCAGGGCAAAACTGGCAGCTGAGCTCATCACAGGCAGTCTTTCCCTATGCAACATGAAGCACACATGAACTAAGTTGAGAAGCTACTTGCTGATGTTGCTTACTCATCTGTACAGCCTCACATTTTGTTAAAAGGTGGCAAGCTCTACCTTGCTTCCTGCAGGCACAGGATGTATCATCTATTTCTCCTTTACCTTCTCTTCCTTCTGCCTCCCTATTTTTCACTTGTTAACATCCTTTTCTCTGCTCCTCTCCTGTGAGAGAGAGAGAGCTCTGCAGCTTTCTGGGACCCTTTTCCCAACCACCCCACACCAGCAGCAGGTGGTATCACCCATCCCTGGTATCTTAACACAGCCGCAACTGGCAGCAGGACAGGGAAATTATGTGGCCTCAGTCCTCCAAGCTGCACCTTTGATATCACACTGATCTAAACAGAAAAGCCACAAGGAGAAAATCCCTTTTATATCTCTAAGATGATCACTACAGAAGGCATGTGGTGCGTTACAAACTGGCACCTCTGCCCCACCGCAACAAATCCAGTACCACCATCACAGGTATCTTGCACCTGTGGTAGAGGAAGTTTATTTAACTCCCACTTCAAAGGCCTGCATCTTGGTGAAGAACTGCCTCTATCCAGGAGGACAGTTCTAAGAGAACCTAATGTGGGGAGCAGTTTCAAGCTGACACGATACCAGTGGGGCTGGAATCCCACAGTTCCAGTTTAGGACAACACTAAGAAGTGAGGAGGCTAATTACCTTAATTTATCCCATGATTATTTTAATTATTAATCACTTCCTTCTTTCTTGCCTATTATCGGGGCCAGTGCTGGGAGTGCTCCCAAGCCCCAGCACAGCATGTGACTCACTGGGTTCATCTCCATCACTTCTCACCTTTCATAATAGGGCTTCCTTGGAGCTATGCTGTTGCTGCTGGAGACAGTAAGTCAGGTGCTGTACTGACCTAGGCTGACTCACCTGGGAGAAGATGCGTGGTTCTTCCTGCAGATGGTTTTGGAGGCCCAGCTCTCCTAAAAGTAGAGGAAGGTGTAGGACACAGCTGCTTTGTCTTTTCAAATGAAGGGTTTTTAAGAGGTTGTATATGCATTCAGTAAAACCACAAGAGTGTTTTCATGATAGATATTAGCTTGTGGCTGCTTTGGCTAAAGACCACAAGAAAAAGAGATCAAGTAAATGTGTGGTCTGCTGGCAAGGCAGCACCTGCCAGGACAGGGTGTGGTTTGCAAAGCACCACGAGGTGGCACAGCCAAAACCACAGCTGCAGCAGCTGCTCACACTGGCTCCTGGGCGGGGACCTCACACAATCCCAGTGATGCCAAGTCCCTGTCACGGTTTCAGTATGCAGGTATGAGAAACTCAGCTGTTTAGGGAGATCTGGCAGCAGTGCAGCCTGTACATACATATTAGCTGGTAATATCATTACAAGCTCAGTGAAACTCTGACCTCCATGCACATCTTCTTTGCCTCCTCCAGTCACCCTCAAGCAGGTAGGCACCTTCCTGGCACAGCTCTCAGCATCCATGAGTTTTCTATGGCCACTAACATATAGCTAGTACTAACAGTAATACAGAGTTCATGAAGGAAGGAGTTTTCAACTAGATACTAAGTTAATTGCTGAATTTGACAAAGGTAAGACAGGAAGAAGCATGCTCTGGGTGAAGACAGGAATGACATGTCAGAAGGAGATGAGGACACGTGGGATTCTTCTGGACACAAATCAGATCCTCGATCATTAAATCTCCACGAGTGACATCTTCACTACCTAAAAAAAAAAAAAAGAAACAAAACACTTTGCAGAGCAAAACTGGAGGAAAAAAAGTCTTCTTGCTATGTGAACAGCAAGCAGCTGGAAGTGCTAGAGCTACAGCATGCTGCCAGAGATAGGGTTACTGAGATGATGGTGCTCTCTGTCACACAAGCCCATGGCCCCAGCTGTGCGCTCTGCCTGTTTGGCCACTCTCTTGCATATGGTAGTGGATGGGCAGGCAGAGCAGCAGAACAGCTTACCTCTGTAGGAGCCAGACTGAGAGCTGACCAAGAGGCTTTTAGCTGAAACACAAGAAGTAAAGAAAATATTTACTCTTGAAAACAAGTAATCTCAAAATACGCTTCCCTGCCCATTCTTCTATTTTTTTTCCTTCTCCTCTGCTCTCCTATTTTTAGTTCAGAACATTAAACACTGCCAGGCTTGGGCCCCCTAAATGGGTACAGGGAAATTGCAGTGAGCTAGGAAGCTGTGTTTTCTCTTTCCCTCTCTGAGGCTACTAGAGCGTAAGCTTCCAATGTTGTAATGGCAATATCTTACTGCTATCCCCTTTAAACCTATAGCAAAATATTTGCAAGTCTGCATCTGTTCCTGGTGAGAAAAAAGCAAGGAGAGAAGAAAATATAAGCAAGTCTTTTTTTCCCCTCACAAAAGATCAAAGTGAATTTTTCCCTTTTCTTTTATTGTTACCAGGTTTGTAGACTGTGAAGTATATATAGCATGCATAAACAATATAAATATACTCTATAAAAATCTAACAAGGTAGCTGATCTTTTAATAATTTGAGCAAATGATTGCAACTGAAGAAATGCAGCATATTCTGTTATTCTATGTGAATTATTATAGATATTATTCTGATTATTCATACTGTCATCAACCAGGACCGTTCTGGTTCCCTGAAATAGCAATTTGTTAGCACTCACACCCACCTACAGCAATATAAACAGTGTGAGTGTTAACAACTAAGCTTCCTGAAGCCAAACCAACATTTTATTGAAAATTTTCAACTTCTTGTCTCTGATCCAATAAGCTTTTATATATGAATTCATTTTACATGTGGCATATTTAATAGGCTGACAGAAAGCAGTTCACCAGATTTTCTGTGTATATTAGCCCTAACCTTTCTTGGACATGAATGCATCACTACCAGGACAGCAGTGACAGGCCTGTACAACTTCCCAGGCTCAAATTCAGACTATGCAGAATAAAGAGAGAGGTCTGTGTGAGACTGTCTTCTGCTGGCATTTTGAATGTGTACCTCCTTATTCTGCCCACTGAAGTGGTGTAGCATTTCTGAAGCACCCTGATGCTCAATTCCAATAGACAGATGGACTTACCATGAAATGGTGCCACAGTAGATTGAGAGCTGTAGCCACATGCAGGCTCACCTCTGTAAGGACAACAATACAACTGTGAAAAGGGTTTAATAGCTCTGCTAATACCTTAGCATTTATCACTCCCTATAAAGTAAATTTTCCTTCTTAAATTTTATAATTGATCTGCCTCAGCTGCTCATAGGCACTTGATTCTTACAACTCAGAGATGATGAACAGAAGGAGTGAGAAAGAAAAAAGCATCCTTCCCAGCTAAAGTCCTGGAAGAGGTAACAGTTGCCAAATAACTACTTTAAATGTGGCTGTATCAAGTTTAAATATGGAGCTCTGAAAAACTTCAAGCACAATGAAGTTGCTGAACTTCAGTGTGGCCAAAGAAGAGGGTATGCACCATAGGAAGCTGACAAGATACTAGAGACAGTATGTTTCCCAGAGATCTAAAAGCTCAAACACTGCTTGGTAATATTTTGCTCTTCCCTATACTTTATTAATTCAGAAACTGACACTTTCAAAGTCCATTCTACGTTAAAAGAACGTTCACATTGCTAAGTCTGACTCTTGTAAGCAGAAAACCCCAACAGAATATTATCTATGTAAATGTTATGTATCTTGTGTGTCTATACCCAATCTTATATTATTTTTCCAGTTACTCCTAAAGCATTGATTAAATTTGATTTGATTTGATTAAATGAGATTTGATTAAAGAGATATCAATGCTACTGGCCCGCACAAAACTGGCAGGTATTTTTTCATCTTTAACTCTCAATTTTTAATATGCACCTACTCCACTACCATGTCTGGAAAGTGAGGATTAGGTACAGAAAACCTGATGAGAAACCACTTCACACCTGCAGTAGTAACAGCATGTAGGCACAGAGCTATGCATCAAGTCACAGTGAGGAAACAGAAAACTGACTGAGACCTTAGGAGGTGTAAGATAACAAACTGCATAATGCACTTTCTATGTCCAAATTTTTCAGTTCTTGAATTAGCTGTGTTACTAAGTTTTAACAGTTTTTACACCTTTTACATCATTTCATTTATAAACACAGGTCACACATTACACAGTGATGTAGTATTTATCTATCACTGAAGTGAAAATTCATAGCACATTGAACTCCTTTATAGAATGACATGGGAGGAAAAATCACAGGACAAAGCAAGACCACCCAATGATGAACTCTGCAGAGATGAGGAAGATCATCTGGAGAAGATCATGATAGCATCTGAGAATGCAGATGCCACAGGCATTTCAATTCTCTGCTCAGCGTGTCAACAAGCAATATATCCACACCATTTTTTTCATCACAAAAAAACCCACAAAGCTCTAACTTTGTTGGGCTGTGACAGCTCACAAACAAGGGTGGATGCTAAAACACTTTTAGCTCAGCGACAGAAGCTAATTTCAAAAGTGACCGAGCTTCCTAAGAATTCTGAAAGACATCGGCAGAAGATCAACACTTCATTTGAATTTCTTATGGATGGTCACGCTCCTAGATTGTGTTGTGATCACAATACAAACAGTGTTAACACTCTCAAGGAAGTAAAGAATTCATCAATAAAAGCATTATCAATTAGTGAAGATAAAAATTCCATATGGCAGAGAGACATGGAAGACAGATTTTTTGTAGTGGACAACTATGGAAGTAGGACAGATACATGTTTTCTGGGACTAATTGATGGGCACCATGGAATGACAGCTGCAGAAACAGTTGCAGCAGAGCTTCCACTTTTATTTCTTGACCAGCTTGCTCAAACAGACCCCTCCTACAAAATGACCAAGGAGGAAAGGCAAATTCTAGACTCTCTTGCCACTGTAATCACGGAAGACTACAGGGAAAAAGAGAGGATTTTCTCTGACAGACAGGAGAACAAGACCCATAAGACAAATACTTACGAATGGATTCACAAAGCATACACCAAGGCCTTCTGGAGAATGGACAGACTTTTACAGCTAGGAAGGAATGAGGTTTCCAGAGTTCGATGGAGTGGCTGTTCAGCTGTAACCTGTTTGATGGAAAGACTCCCCAGTGAAAATACGGATGACACTGAACACTTTGAAAACAGTTTGCAAAGTTCATTAACTAGGACAACTGAGGATGTTGCTGGGCTCCTGCACATTGCTAACATAGGTATGTACATTTCACACTGGATTTTTTTCCTCTCTGCTCAGTAAGAAAAATAATTTCGAGGTTTGCTGGCAGTAAATATTTGGAGATAAAAAGCTGCAATTGCTTTAACTTGTCGATGTGAAGGAAACACAGTAAATAATCTCTGTAATTGACAACAGCATCAGGCAACAATATCAGGCTTATTGGATGAGAGCCCTCAATATATTTGAATTAAGGCCGTAAGTTTACTAACATGAGACATACGGCTGGACAGCATTCTGTTTATGTGATCCATGTAAAAATACTATTTAAAACCAAGAAGAAGCTTAAGGTGTCAATCACTTCAGGATAAATACAAACATTCTAGATCTGATAAATCCCTACTGTCCAAGAAACACGTTTAAAGGTATTTTCTTCTCTTAGTCATTTGTTTCAAGTGCCACTTCATATTTCTACTGGAAAATGTGATGTGTAGGGATTATCTGAACTGTCCATTTCAGAAATCGGTGATTTACTACTGTCAAATCCATTCAGTCCTTCTTCCTTATGGAGGTCACCTTTCCGTAAAGTGGAAAATTATCAATTACAATGAGAAACGTTGTTATACTCCTAATGCCTCTCCTCCCAGATTTGCTGCAGGCTCATGCAAACTAAAGCTCATGCAGTCCTTCAGAATTCTTCATTACATCTACCCACTGGGAAACTTGTTATCAGTTAAGTTCTTGTATACATATGACAGAGGATGCTTTCCCACAAATACACAAGCAGAGGTTTTTGTTTGTTTTTTTTGTTTTTTTTTTTTTGGTTTGGTTTTGGTTTTTAAAGCTACTTGATGAACAGTTTCAAATGAAATCCTGTCTGCAGTCTCAAGTACATTCCAGTCTCTGCTTGATTTATGTCCCCAGCACTAATGCCTTGATCTCATTCTCAAGAAGCATTATCAGGAAGCATGCTAACGCTAGTTTTCTAACAGCAGGGGTACTTTCTCCTCCTCAAATGAGTGTTTTCAGAAAGCTCCTATGACCTCTTCATATTTCTTCCTGTGAAATTTGATAGCAATTAATCAAGGTCAGAAATAAGAAGGAAAAGGATAATCTTTTAACATACTTCATTTCCTTAGGAGGCAAAAATATTATATTCCACATCTGTATCCAACTCATCCAAGATTATGAAATTATTATAGTAATATGCAATTCTCTGCAAATCTGAGGATTCTATAAACCAACCTGAACGTGCAATGACACTGAAAGATGTTACTGTGCTCTACCCACCCTTCCTCACTATTCTGCCAACACTTGTTACTATATCCACGCTTTATCTTCAACAAGCATTTTTCCAGCCACCAGAACTTAACAATTACTATTATCAACACTGGTAGCTTAGCACCAGTTTTATGGTGGCTTCAATTACAGATACTATAAGATCAAGCTCTGTAAATCAAGTTGATCAGAGATACTTCAAGCCTTTTACAACTTAAGTCCTTGCACTTGAACAACCTCTAAATATACATTTACTTAACCTACTACATTAATTTCCCCCCCCAAAAAAAAAGATTTTCACAACAATTTTTTTTCCCAGAATTGCATTCTTAAAGGCAGAGCAGAAGACAGCAGCACTGCTTGCTGTATTTTGTCTCACAGTAATAGGTCACCTGGTTTTTGTTGATTCTTCTACTCTGTCTCTAGATTGCAGACAAACCTGCACCCAAAAGCAAGCTATATTTTATTCTTTAGTAGAGAAACTTTTACACATGGGTTACGTTACGCTCTTGGTTAGGCTTTCAGTTAGGGTCTTACTCTGAGGAATCAAACAAGTTTTAGGCAACCAGCTAGTTTTCTGCAGAAATCAGACTACAGAGGAGGGAGCAAGAAGCAAATAACTTAAGGTGTTTACATTCTGTAAACATCTGTATTTGTCAGTTTGATATTATGAATCACCTAGAGAAATCCACCTTCAGAGGGAATTACACTTGGAGCTATCCCCTAGGGTAGACAATGCCAGTACTTACCAACAAATTCAACTGTATAAGCATTGCCTATAAACAATTTTCATGTCTTCCTCTAGTCAGAAAATGCAAAATGCAAAAGAATGCACTGTGGACAACTCAGTATCTGGAAAGCTACAATCCCACTCAATTTGTCTTTAGCATATCACTTTTTGTCCTTATGCCAAAAGAGCAAAGACTCTCCTAAACACAAAAATTACCTCCTCTCAGTATAGCCACAGGGTATCTCAAACACTGCTCACCTTGTTTCAGAAATGCTTTCCTTTATACCCTGCATTCAAGTCCGATAAGGCTGATCACCTGGAATGTGATTTTTAATACTTTCTCCACTCTCACCATCTGGATTTCAATATAATTAAGTGAAAGAAAGTACTTATTTCTACTAAAGGAAATAAATTAGTCTAAGACTACTGCAAAGAGTCCTACTCCCTCGAGTTCCTCACCCAAAGAATAGGCTTAAGGCATAATGCTAATGAATTGTAAATCCTAAATAATGTCCAAATTATTTTTTAGCTACTAGCTATTTTATAGTGCTTTAAGAAGTCTGAACTTGCTTTCTGACGGGTTAATTCAGCCACAATGTTTTGAGAGCACACTCTCTCTTAGAGAAGTACATGAGAAGTAGAGTACTTGGCACCATCATTCTGTATTCAATTAAGAGCTTCAATTGTAACATTTCTATCAGACTGCCACATGTTAGGCCAATTTGAAATGTCACAGATTCCCCACAAAAGTTTAGCTGCAGTCAGTCAGAAAAACAAGATTTTAGAGCAGTCTTCTGAGTAGTGGGAGGAGAAAAAAATCCACAAAATCTTGCTGTAAAACAGAACTGGGTTAATTTATAGACACACTGCTGCCTACAATAGTAAAAATTGAACTATGATTTTTTTTTTCCTGCCCCAGTCTTAGCAGAACCCTAATCACTGATATTACAGTAATGTAAGAAGAAAATAATCAGTGGGCTACAGTTACAAGATATTAATTTTACTTTTAGGTAACGTACACGCTGTTTTGTGTAAAAACGGCAAGAGTTATCGCCTCTCAGAAGAGCACAGCACTTCTAATGTAAGGGAGAAAAAACGCATACTTCAGAATGGTGGAAACATCAGCCCTAATGAACCAGATGGATTAGTAGAGGGTCACCTTAGAACTACAAGAGGTCTTGGATATCATGGAGATCCCGCACTAAAAGGATCCGTGATTCCCGTACCTCATAGCATCTCTGTCCCAATTGACGATTCCTGTCAATTTCTTATTTTAGCTTCTAACGGGCTGTGGGAGGTTCTGGATTACAACGAAGTGTGTGCGCTAACACTAACAACATTCACTCATTATCTGAGAACGTATGAACGCATTCAACAAAACGGGGCTTCTCTGTATAACTGCCTGTATTTGTTACCCTGCTCTGAAGAAGAGTTAAGTGACTCAAAGGCTACAAATTATCAGCAAGTTGGAACAGAGATGCAGGACTCCAGTATGGAGATTTTTCTCCCTGACTCAAAAAGCAGCACTACACACGGAAAGCCAAGATGTTCTAGGATGAGCTATTTGCAAAGTGAAAATGGAGATGTTCCTAAGGAAACTGATGACCACAAAAATCAAGCTGATCCAGAACTGACACTTTTTAGTAATGATGAGATAGGTCCAGAGAAAAGAGGGATAAAACAGTCTGATTCTAGCACACAAATCAGCTCTGAAGAAATGAAGCAGTCAGAGGACAGAAAAGTTTATCTACGTAACAGTTCTCAGCCACATTCACAAACCACAGCACCAGAAGAAACAGACATTATCCATGCAACTAGTCCAAGTTACATCCACAAACAGCTGCCAAATAAACTGACAGTAAGGCCTGAAGACATGAAACAGACTCAAAATTGTACAAAAGCATCTCTCTCTATTTATGACTCAGATCTACAACAGGCTGAAAAAACAAATTCTAAGATATCACATGCCAAGCCTGTAGGTTATACTGGCCACCAACTGCTGAAGGCTCCATTGCCAGTGGATTGTAAGACACCTACACATTTTGAAGAAGACATAAAAACATACCTGGCCAGTTGTGAATCACAAATTGCAGGAAAAGGTGGGGTCACTTCCAAGGCACTCTATGACAATGCAGCAAGCTACATCAGTGAACAATTGGTAAAGGCTGCATTACATGCAGGTTCAAGAGATAATATTACTATTTTGATTGTACTTCTAAACGGATGTGATAAGTTACCCAACTAACTAAACATTTAAGAGGTATCATATGACAAATGGAGTTTCACACAGCACGAGCATATATTTAGCTGTGTCATGAAGTTACTTGCAATCACCTTAAATGCTGACCCATATAGCAAATCAGACGTGCTCTCAAACTGTTCAAATGAAATAAATACCTCTGAAACTCGCAGTAAGAAACAGTAATCAGACTTTTTTTTTAACCACTTTATTCAAACCTGAGCACCTCAATATAAAACTAAACACTGGTGAACTGTCATTTGCCTTGCTAAACCCAGATTACTGCAAATTAAAAATCTGCACAAGTTTCTGCTATCAGTTCAACATTTAAATAGACTAATTCATCTCTTCCGACACACTTGGTAGATTTCATATAATGAAAATAACTAAGAATTAGTGCAATATACTGGACAGGTCAAAATAAAATGTACTTTGGAAAACAAAGTTGCAAAGTTCATTATTGACAGACAGCAGTACTTATGTTACAGATACAGGAGCGTTATTTATTACTGTCCTAGCCATAAAGGAAGAACTTAGAACCCCCTTTGATTAGAGAGGAAAAAAGTTAGCTTTAAGTAACTGTACATTCTGTATACCTTCAAGCAACTCTTAAATATTACAGAAAGTATTAAACAAATGTAGACTACAATGCAGAGTACCTATTTACAGTACATTAATATCCAAATTTAAAATCAAGTTGAGTGTCCATAATAGTTAGTGCGCTATTTTTTTTTCCTCAGGAGAAAAACAAACAGTAACGGCCAGCAATGACCAAAACCAAGAAAAAAAGTCACAGACACCAAGTTTGTTGTGGTTTTACTTGAAGAGCTCTTACAGTTTGTAAAGAAAAAATATCCTATATTGTAAAGAATGTACTGGTTTGTACCTTCTGAACAGATTAGAAATGAAGTTAAACTTGATTTATCCTATTCTCTTTAGACAACTAATTGGGTTGATATAATTTACATACAGTGTACCAACTAAAAATCCACTTTCCTGCAAGCACAGGGTTCTTTAAATTGTTAATGCAAGTAGTATTTGGGATTAAATTATTAAACTATGGAATGTATAACTAAACAGTAGATACCTGCAGAAACAACTGGTTGCGTCAATACTGTGAATGAGTTTAATTTTTAGACCCTGTTTCTAAAACTCTTTTAAAGCATAATTGAGAATTATGAGAAGTTCGAATTCTATTCATCGTAACAGTAATCAGTATTGAAGCAAGAGAACTGGCCAATTAGGTCCATGGAAAGTAGGTCTTCTATATCCCTAATGGAAAGCGATTTTTAAAACCTTTTAACTGAAGGAAGTTTACTCCGCTTCCATCACTCCTCTATGCTGAAACATTACAGACAGCGGTGGATACATGCATGTTAAAATTTTAGGTCAAAAGGAAATCCTGTATCATAAACTTGACTATTATTGTAAGTCTCTTCGCTGTTTGGAAGCTGTACTGGGCCAGGTTAAGCACTCCAATTCCATGGTTATTAACAGTTAGGAAGCAGAAGAATATTCAGAACAGTTTAAAGCAATTGATGTTTTAGTTACTGCAACATTGACTCTTGGGTGGTTGTGTGGGTTCAGTAAGGTCTACTCCTCTTCCTCTGGCAGAGTTAGCTCCTGTATTCTGTGGTTCATTCTTTGGCAATTTTTTTGCTATAAAATCGACAAAAAAAATAAGAGGTTAAATGTTGTAGTGAGATTAGATCATCTGAGTACACAAACAGGCAGCACTTCATTAAGTTTACACTCTATAAACATATCAATATCATCATTATAAATTCTGATTCAATTCAGTGTGTTGGTAATAGAAGTTAAGACACTTAACTTCTTAATGATTAACTATCATAGCTAAGATTTAAGAGCAAAATGCATTAGTATCTTGAGCAGCGAAAAGTATCTGCCTAGGCATGCTGTGCTGTCACAAAGTGACAGCTCTTGCAGGAATTCATCTACACAGAAAAATCTAAGATAAGAACGTTGAAGGTAATATTAATAATGTCGAAAGTATACAGCAACAATGAAAGAACGCAACAGACAGAAATGGGTCAGTCTACTGCCCAGATAACTACCCAGAGTAAACATTGCATATAACTTAAGAAATGGCCCTCAGCACAAGATCAAACCCCTCCTCTCCCTCAAAGATACATATGTCCAGTTCTTATACATCAATTTACTGTGCTAACTTTTGTCACCCTTGTAGCTCGAAGATAATTCTCAATCAGACATGGAAAAATGCAGGTGACAAGCACTACCCTTCTTTGTAGCAACTCCTTGGAGTAATTTTCTGACAGAGAGAAAGGTAAGTTCTACTTCAGAGGACTTCCATGAGGCTGTCTTGTTCACTTTATCAGGACCCATCCACCATTCCTGTTCTACTTTCTGGCTGCGTACTTTGATTCCAGAATTATAAGCTGGCCAACGTTTTCAAGAACAACTTTCCAAAAAAGGAATGAAATTCAACTACAGGAACAGGCAGCAATAACAAAACTAGCACATCCAAAAGATTAACTCAGTTAACAGAACTCAAGAGTTCACATGACACTAAGCTGCAAAGACAGTACAAAGATACACAACATCAGCAAAAAAAAAAAAAAAACAACCAAAAACCAAACATCTTCCCAGCACTGTTGCTTGAGATCACAGATACTGGAAATGAGCACTTTTTATTTTTATTTTTTTTATTTTTTAATAACAGGAAGCCTTGAACAAGCTCTAAAGCAGTTAATTCACAAGCAGTTGTAGCTTACAACCATTCTTTCCTGTGTTCTCAGTTTTGACTTTTCTCACATTTTTGGAAGACCACATTTACATATATATGGTCCTTAGAAACGAACCCATGTTGTGCAAAAGGCTATTCTAAGCTCAGTGCTGCACAGACCTTGTTTTGATGCAATGCTAAGTCTAAATTTCACCTATTTCACCCAAAGAATACTCACATGGACTAGGAACCTTGCAGACCAAGTACTCAGGTACTAAGTATGTACTTTTTGTCAGATTTATTGCGTGTACTTCGTTAGAGACAAGTAAGAATTACTGTTTATATAATAAATTATCAAAATCCCAACAGAATTTGAAGATTCATTTTTTCACATTTCTTTCAAAGATGCAGTTTGCACTGCGATGTTAGAAAGAATTATTTTTGAAGCTGAGCTGTAGTTCTGCAAAGAGGACTATAATTGACCATTTCTGTATCATCAAATGCCGTGCTACCTCCAGCATTTATGACAAAAATATATCTTCTACTTAGAATTCTGTACACCACCCACCTCTCCCCCCAAATATTTATAGTTAATATAAAGAGAGTACTTGCTGCAAAATGTTGCCATAGCCATAATTTTATTTGCATTTGCTGGAAGTTCAAACTGCATTAGGTTACCTTCCACTTTACTGGCTTGCAAAGAAAAAAGGGCTCTTTAAAAACAATTTATTTTGAAAGCAAGAGATGTCATCATAGTGCAACATGAAAAACAGATTAATACAGTTATTTGACACTAAACTTCACTGTTTCCTCCTAGTAATAGAGTGACTCCAATTAAGGTTATTAAATAGGGCAAGTAAACCCACCTAAAAAAGTCCTCTTCCTCCTCTTTTTTTTTTTTTTTTTTTTTTTAAATAATAAAATATGTTCTATCTATCAAGGGAATTCACAAGATTGTTAGTACTTTCAACTTTCTATTATGAGTTATCACCTTCATAGAAATTCCTAAGGAATGTTAGAGCTAAAAATATATTAGTAAATTCACTTTTCCCACAGAAAGTACCCTTCACTTGTACTCCAACTTTGAATTTCAACACATATGCTCATTCTTGGCACATCCTTTGCATTTTACATTGCTGCATTTGAAATTCAAATAACTTTAAAATAAAACAGTATTTAGCAAATACTCTGATTAGACTAAAACAAATACTCTTGACTTCTTTAAAGCAAGTCACTGTCATCTCCTATTTTGATATGTTTCCAGCTTCAATTATGATTGTCTTGTAAGTACATTATTATAGCTTTTGCACCTTCCCAAGGCAGTATGAGATCTGCTGCAAAAAGCATAACATTAAAGTACTTATTTATACATTTTTACTTACATTCTCATACTAATGTGATAACCATAAAATATATTTTAGATTTGTTAAAATCATGTAAAATTGAAACAATTAGCTACACCATGGGAAAGGTTGTGTTGTTTTTTTTCTTAAATATGTAACAGCAACTACAGCTTAATTTTGCTTCAACTTGAAGCAGTACCACTGATCACAACAGAAAGACAGTTGCATGAAACTTGGTGACAGAATTCAAATTAATCTAAGCTTGTTCAGCTACTACAAATTAATCCAAGCTCTAAGTGCCTGACAGAAAACCTGCGCAAATATGCTTCAATTCAGTTTATCTCAACATCATAAAGTAGGTGAAGGGCCTGAGGAAACATCAGTGCCACAGAAAGAAAAATAATTTACGTGAAAGTCTGAAAGAGCTTGAGTTCAGATGCTTCCAGTTATATGCATCTAGAGAAAACAATTATATTAAATTCTCTTTTTCCCCCCCCATCAACTTACCAATTCTCAAGAAAACAATTATACTAAATTCCCTTCCCCCTTCCCTCACCCCCTGCCATCAACTCACCAATTGCCATAAATATTTCGTTTACGTTCATAGATGTTTTGGCAGATGTTTCCATGAACAATAAACTGTTGTCATCTGCATAAGCTTGTGCTTCCTGAAAGAAAATACTGCATTAGTCCATCCTTAAAAAAGTTAAAGCCTCACTTTATTACACCTCATACTCTTGCTGCTACTAAGGAAGAATTTCTATTCCATTTTGAAAAAAGGTTTGCTGAAACACTCATGAGAGAGTGCTACTCATTACCTGTGGGAAAACTGTAACTCCACCAAGTGGTTAAAAGAAATGCAATCTTGAAATCCTTATTTGTCTTAAAAAAAGTAATATTCCAGATCAAACCTAATACAAAACTAAATAGTAAATATTAGAAGGACAATCCTACTACAAGACTCCAGCTGTAATAGCATGAATAAATAAGTAACAGGAAGTGCCTTCAAATGCCAAAAAGCCCATTATCACCTCTGTAAAGAATTACCTTCAATCTTTCACCCATAAAGCAGACTGACTAGAAGTTTTAGAATAGAGTATTTCGGTAAGGATAATAAAACTAATAAGGAGAATCTAATGTCTTGTCATATG